TTACCTGTATGAAACAACTGAATGTACTTAAAGATTCATTTATTGAAACCTTTGGGAAAGCAATAAGTCAGCAGCTATTATAAATTAATATTCATAGACCCATAACTTTTAATAGGTATCCTTCCTAGATATAGCTGGACATGTGCACAAAAAGTCACATACACAGATACTCTTTTCAGTACTACTTTTAACAGTGAAATTTTGAAAACAACCTAAATGTCAATCAATTGAGTAATAGTTAAGATATGTGCATGCTCTTTGTAGCAGAATATTTGGCCATCTCCTCCTCCTCCTCCTCTTATCCTATGATCCTAGCCTCCTTTACGGACACTTCTGTACTCTTCATAGGCTTAGTAGAACTATTCCTAGGACTTACTTCATCCTGTCATTCTCAGTTTAGACCCAGAAAAGACTGATCTTTCCTCTCCAACCTCTTGGCTGAGCCAAGAGGGAGTCATGTGACATAAGATTGGCCAATCATTTGCTTTAAATCATGAACCAAGGCAGAACCAGAATCCCTGAGTGGCAGCAGTGGTGGCTCTGGTAGGCGTCTGTGGGGAGGAGGAGTGGCAGCTGCCTCCTGGCCTCACAGTTCTCGCCAAGTGACAGGACTATGTCCCTAGTACTGGCCCACCAGAAAGGCCCTGGATTCTGTTATTAAAAACATCAGTGGTAGGCCCCAGCAACAGTTACATTAATAATAAATAGACACATTAGATCTCTGTGAGTCACAAACAAAGTGTCTTAACTGATATGCTGGACAATTACATAAAGTTATTAAAAAGAAACATCAGGACATATCAGTAAGTGAAAAATCAGACTGAGGAACATTCATTCACTCAAGGAATGTTTTTTGAGGGCTGCCACTTATTAGTCGTGGTGCTCTGAACAGGAAATGCCTAGTTCCTGCCTTCATGGAGCATTATTTGAAACATCAAAATATTGGACGTGAACTGTCTACAGTAGTGGGATGAGAAATTCTGTGAATTATGGCACATGCATTGAGTAGTCCCCGCTCTTCCATGGTTTTGCTTTCCAGGGTTTCGGTTACCTGCGGGAACTTTGGTCCTGAAGCAGATGAACCTCCTGACTCTTGTTAGAATGTCAATAGCAGCCTGACGCTGTGTCACAATGCCGGTCATTCACCTCATGTAGGCATTTTATCATCTCATCACCACAGGAAGAAGCAGGGCGAGTACAGTACAATAAAATATTTTGAGAGGGGGGACCATATTCACAACTTTTTTTTAGAATCTGAAACTGAAGAGGGTAGCATACTGGAATTCATGCTTTCTATGGAACTAACATGTCATGGATGCTGTAGATCGACTTGTTCAACATCCATTTTACCCCCCTCTAGATGCCATTATTGTAACACAAAGGCTGGACCTATAAAACTACATTTCTCAGACTGCTCTGCAGCCAATATTCTTGTTAATGTCAGGTCCCCCAATTAGAAGCATTCTTGGGGCATATGGAAGGCAGGAGAGGATGAAGGCTACTTTCCTGCTGCTGTTTTCTCCTGACAAGCAAGGCCATCAAAAAATGAGAACTCATCATCCCAAGGTTCACCACAACTTTTTTGGGTGTCTGGATACATTGTGGTGGCAGTGATGGCAGGACTGAGTGTGAAAGCAGAGGTTTCTTAGTTTTGAATCACCACTATAGCTAGTTGGCTTCTAACATCTATTTACCACTCACCCATCATCTATCTCTTCCTCTCATTTTATATTTATCTATCTATAAGATAAAGATAATGGAGACTTCCAAATTCTATTCTATTAGCTTTTCCATCAGTTTTATAGCCATCTTTCTGCTTAAAATATCTGTGCTGTTTTCTCTTTTCTATACTGAACCACGGCAGATACACAAGAGTGACAAGGACCAGTTCCCCGCTTATTGAACCCACCCTGATCAGTGGTAATTTTTTCCAAAGTAAAGGGAGCAAGTGCTATTTCTATAACTTAGGATAAGGTTGTGATTACTTGTTATTCTATGGTCCTGTGAGGGTTAGATAAACCATTTCCACTCTCTTTCTCCCCATTTCCCATCTGCCTTTGAGATTTTGTTAGCATAGACCTCTTACCTCAAGAATAAAGCTGGTCAGAAGAGGGTAACTATTACAGCTGGCCCCAACATAAAACTACACAGAGAAAATATAGGCAAATGATTCAGACCACTAACATATTAAGAATTCTTTTAAATCAGTGAGAAAAAAGTTAAACCTATTGAAAAATGTACAAAATACATAATAAAAGAAAAGAAAAATAGTCAAAGAAGATATTAAAATACTCAACTTTTTTGTTACCAAATTAGAAAAAATCTTTAAGTAATAGATCTGATGAAGATGTATTACTTATACTGGGCATTCTCCAGCATCTCTGTTAAGTTCGTAAATTGGTTAATTTTCCAGATGTAAGCTTGGTTGTATTCGTAAAAAGCCTTTAAAATACTCATTCTCTTGGATCAACAGTTTTCAGCTGGAGGTAATTTTGCCCCCCAGGGGACACTGGCAATGTCTGGAGATATTTTTGGTTTTCACCACCGTGGTTTGCGAGGTGCTGCTGGCATCAGGTGGGTAGAGACCAAGGATGGTGCACAACAACCTACAATGTACAGGCCAGCCCCCGCCCAAGACTGCCTACCCAAAATGTCCATGGCATGGAGGTTGTGATGTTCCATCTTAGATATAGGAATTCTGATTTAAGGATTTACCTGTATGAAACAACTGAATGTACTTAAAGATTCATTTATTGAAACCTTTGGGAAAGCAATAAGTCAGCAGCTATTATAAATTAATATTCATAGACCCATAACTTTTAATAGGTATCCTTCCTAGATATAGCTGGACATGTGCACAAAAAGTCACATACACAGATACTCTTTTCAGTACTACTTTTAACAGTGAAATTTTGAAAACAACCTAAATGTCAATCAATTGAGTAATAGTTAAGATATGTGCATGCTCTTTGTAGCAGAATATTTGGCCATCTCCTCCTCCTCCTCCTCTTATCCTATGATCCTAGCCTCCTTTACGGACACTTCTGTACTCTTCATAGGCTTAGTAGAACTATTCCTAGGACTTACTTCATCCTGTCATTCTCAGTTTAGACCCAGAAAAGACTGATCTTTCCTCTCCAACCTCTTGGCTGAGCCAAGAGGGAGTCATGTGACATAAGATTGGCCAATCATTTGCTTTAAATCATGAACCAAGGCAGAACCAGAATCCCTGAGTGGCAGCAGTGGTGGCTCTGGTAGGCGTCTGTGGGAAGGAGGAGTGGCAGCTGCCTCCTGGGCCTCACAGTTCTCGCCAAGTGACAGGACTATGTCCCTAGTACTGGCCCACCAGAAAGGCCCTGGATTCTGTTATTAAAAACATCAGTGGTAGGCCCCAGCAACAGTTACATTAATAATAAATAGACACATTAGATCTCTGTGAGTCACAAACAAAGTGTCTTAACTGATATGCTGGACAATTACATAAAGTTATTAAAAAGAAACATCAGGACATATCAGTAAGTGAAAAATCAGACTGAGGAACATTCATTCACTCAAGGAATGTTTTTTGAGGGCTGCCACTTATTAGTCGTGGTGCTCTGAACAGGAAATGCCTAGTTCCTGCCTTCATGGAGCATTATTTGAAACATCAAAATATTGGACGTGAACTGTCTACAGTAGTGGGATGAGAAATTCTGTGAATTATGGCACATGCATTGAGTAGTCCCCGCTCTTCCATGGTTTTGCTTTCCAGGGTTTCGGTTACCTGCGGGAACTTTGGTCCAGAAGCAGATGAACCTCCTGACTCTTGTTAGAATGTCAATAGCAGCCTGACGCTGTGTCACAATGCCGGTCATTCACCTCATGTAGGCATTTTATCATCTCATCACCACAGGAAGAAGCAGGGCGAGTACAGTACAATAAAATATTTTGAGAGGGGGGACCATATTCACAACTTTTTTTTATAGCATATTGTTATAATTATTCTTAGGTATTGTTGTTAATCTCTTACTGTGCCTAATTGATAAATTATACTTTATTGTAAATGTGTACATATAGGGAAAAAAATAGTATGTATAAGGCTCAGTACTCCCTGAGATTTCAGGCATCCTCCGGGGGCCTTGGAACATGCTCTCCGTGGATAAGGGGGGGACTACTGTGTATGGAGGGGCTATCAGCCATTAAAATAATTATTGTGGTCAGTAAGTATATACTACAATTTATTTATATACCATATATACTAAGTGAAATAAGATTTAAAATTATGAATATATGTAAATGTTTATTATATTTAATGAACACAATAAAAAAGTTTATATATACATATAAAACATATATGTGTGTTTTGTGTGTGTGTGTGTATATATATCTTTCAAAAATTTGCATGTAACCAAAAGGTAGTATGCTGTATTAAAAGATTGACAGGATTCATTTCTGAATGGTGGAATTTTTTTCTGAGTTTTCTAAATTTTAGAAATCTGCATATGTTGTTTTTATAAACAGAAAATTTATTATTTGTAACCATAAAATTATTTCAGGAAAGGATACAGTAAAATATTTGAAATTTCCTAACCCCATTTTACCCTTACTGTATTTCTGAAATATGCAATAAGGATATACAAGCTATATAAATAGACATATCTATATAACATATATATAGAAAACATATGTTTGTTAATAAGTAAAATAAAGTCTGCATTTTACTTTAATACATCCCAAGCTCCTAGAGTCAAGTTGGAAGTGTTTGGTCTCTGCTCCCCTGAGTCTCTCTTCGCTGGTCCCTGAGGTATTAGAAGGTAGAGCAGGGGCTGAGGGCAGTGGCTAGGCTGCCAGGTTGGGAGGGGATACAGGGTTCTGAAGTCAGCTGGCACAGGTGTGGCATGTGGCAGAGATGTCCGCCTTTCTGCCCTGAAGCATCTTCTTTAAGTATGCTCTCCTTCTGTAAGTGCCTTCAAGGTCAAATGCATGGAGCCTCTAACACAATCTCTTTTGTTTTGGGGCAGGAAAGGTAGGGCCTCCTCTCGACATCGTGCTGGATGCATTGAACTGTACAGCTTTCAGCATCCAGTGGAAAATGCCAAGGCATCCTGGGAGCCCCATCATGGGGTATACCGTGAGTACTGGGCACAGGGATTTCTCTAGTGTGGGTGTTGGGTTAACTGTAGGTCTTCTCATGCTTGCTCCTCCTGTGTAATAAGTCTCCTCCTGTATAATAGAACTCCTGTACTATTAACTGCTCCACTCTCACTGTCCAAGGGCATTTGTCAGTCATTGTGAAGGGTCCTGAAAGTCAGTCAGGATGTACATCCTTTCCTCTGTTCCGGGATGGGAAAATAAAACTAGGAGAAGATGTGGTTCCTGCTATCCAATTGCCTACAGTCAAATTTGAAGATTAAAGCAGAAACAAGGGAAGTAATAAGGAGTCACTGTGGGACTTCATCTATAAGTACAAAATAACGTAAAAATAGAATGAAGTAAAGAGGGGAACAGAGAATGCACTCTTGTCCATCAGAGGTTCCAAATTGGATTGATGTCAGTTCACCAAAATGTTTTCTTTAAACAGATTTTTAAAAAATGAGTCAACTTGTAGAATTTAGGAGATTTCAGATAAATATTTGGAGCTCTGAAACCTCTGGGAATATTCAGAGAGCTTGCCACCCTGGGCCCTCTGGTCTATGGGACACCAAGTCCCCGGGAGCTGAGCTGCCCACTTTAGATGGGACAGAAGCTCCCCCATAACACCCCAGACTCACCACTCCATACTGTTTCCTCTTCACCAAGGGAGAGTAGCCATTTATCATGGCCTCTGTCCTATTATTGCCTTCCTAAAGTAGAGAAAAGTGTTTTTGGACTCATGTTGTATCAGAAAGGGGGAAATGGAAGATTGCCTGAGAGAGTGGTGGTTTCAGGAAACATAATAGCTGGGTCTAGCCCTCTCCATCACTTCACTGATAAACAGCTTCCTTCTGGCCTCTGCAGGCTCATGTGTTTGTGACCCTGGCCAGATATCTCTGATGCTTGTTGCCCCAGAACTGGTGTATATGAGGCGAGGCATCCCAGAGCCCGTGGTGGTTGGGAGCACAGTTGGAACCACAGGCCTTGCCCTCACCCTGGGTGTCTGCATATTTCCCAGGTCTTTTACTCTGAGGTCGGCGTAGATAAATCTGTGCAGGAGCAGTCCCAAAGTGTGCAACACAGCCAGGATACCCTGAGCACTGTGAGTATGTCTCCACCGGCTGACCCCACAGAAGCACACTGGGGTTGGCTGAGCAGTGACGTTCAGGGGGATTTCTGGTTTAGTCTGGGTGCGCTGTCCTGTGTGTAATAATAATAGCTAGTGCTTGTATGGTCCTATGGAGTTTACAAATATCTTCCTTGTACATTGCTTCATCACAAGTGTCTATAGCTCTAGAAAGGCAGCCATATGAATAAAGAGATCTGGTAGAAAGACTTCTGTCCTGGACTCAACCCACCCCATTATCATGCAAGAAAACAGCTGCCTTACAGCTGTTTTTTTCCCCCTTCTTTTCTTCATAAAGTTCAATTTTGATTTTTTTTGAAATCCCAATAAAGCTTTTATAAGTAAATATGGCACATTATATCTTCCAGCTGCCCACAGCACAACACAGAAGAAAATGATATAAACTGAAGTGCATATTCAGACAGTTCATGTTGTTTATTTTTCTTCTCTAGCTCAGCACGCTGTTCTTCCACTAACCAATTGGTGACTCTTGATCTATTTCTTTTCTGTTCTCTGTCAAGGTCTCTCTGGATGAACTTTTCTGCCTCAGGCACGTTCTGTTTTCTTTGCTTTCACTCTCCTCCTCCTTGCACATCTACTACTGTTACCCTGCAGGCTAGAGCCTTTTGAATTGCTCTGCACAGAGTTAGCACCAGTTCCCAGAATACAGCCATAATGCTACTGGCGGTGATGGTAACATTTGTGACTCCGATTTCCCAGGTGCCTACAGGGCATAACCCACAGAAACCCATCTGTCATCTGTGAGAAGTAGCTGTCACTTACTGAGCTTCTGTTACCTACCAAGTACTATCCTTTGTGCTATTTACATTTGTTTTCCCACTTAATCTTCACAACTCTCCTATGATCTCATTTTAACTGCAAAGGACGCTGAGACTCAGAGAGGTGAAGTGACTTCCCCACATCATACATCAGCAGGTAGCAAAGTTGTCTGGAACCTGGGCGGGCTGACTTTTGGGCCCTGCTCTGGCTATTTTTACCAAAGCTCTCATGACTCACCAAGAACAGAGGCATGTTTTCAGCTTGCTTGTTCTTTGCATGATATGCTTTTAATCTCAGACTTTTGCCGGGCACTCCTCATTTGCCTCAGGAGCCCTGAACCCCAGCCTCTATGGTTTACTTTTCTGGAGAGGGTGAGGTTGGCCCCCAAGGCAACATCTCCATGAGGTTCTGCCTGCCGTCAGCAGCACTGGGACTTTCAACAAGTCCCTGGACCCCACTGTAGGTTTCTGCCTCCCATCCTGCAGTGAGCTCTGCCTGGACCAGGGAGGGCACAGTGCTGGTGACATATGTCTTGGAGTCTCTGAAATTGACATCCTGCCCATCACATCAACCTGGGCTGGTCACCTGCGTCTCTGGGAAGACTGCTGCAGTGCAGACGTAAAGCAGAGGCCAGGAGGGAGACAGGCACCCTGGGCTTCCAGACCACTTTCCCCCACTTACCAGTGGCTGACTTCAGCCCAAGTCACTTAGCCTGTCTATGCCTTGGCTTTCTCCCATGAAAGGGGCATAATATTTACACTGCTGTGAGTGCCAAACAAAATTGTGTGTGAAAATCCTTTGGTAAAATGTAAAGAAGCTATGTAGATGTTAGTTTTTGCTCCTGATGATCATTGCCTGTATGTTAAATATATTCTGGCTGTTAATTATATCCAGGTATTGTAATATGCTACCAGATTATAGCATCTGACTACCTTGCTGATTTCAACAAACTCATATTTGCTACGATGTGTGCAGCACAAGGTGACGCAGAGTCTTTGTTCTTGAGCACCATTTAGTCTTACTGGACAACCACATTCTCACTGATTAAATAGAGAGCAATGTAAGACCAGATGTAACTGACGTGCCACTTAAGAGACAGTCTGAAGTTTAAAAAAGAGAGATAATGCAGGAACAAATGGTCAAGAGGTAAAATTTGAGACTGAGAATTGAAGCAGGGGCAGTTTCTGGAAAGGCAGAGGAGAGGACGGGGCATTCAAATAAAAAAGAATGCTTTGATCCAAGGGAATAAGCATGGGTGTGTGCACACATGCCCGTGTACTTGTGTTTGGGTGGGCGGGAGAGGAGTGCAGAATACACAGAATGGAGAGAGGAAATAAGGACCAGGTATAAAGGCAGTGCAGCAGGAAGAGGGGAGGGGTGGAGTCCGGGATAGCAAAGGGGGCTCTGGATTCCGGTGACTTGCATTCGGAGTCCTGTGTTACAACAAGCCATCTGGGTAACCTCTCTGGGTCTCAGTTCCCTCATTGACAAAATGGATTTGAAAAGTATCTGGTTCATAGGTAAGTTTATCTGTGGCTTCCAAGCTGTGTGCTGGGCGCTCCAGGGCTCTGCAGCAAACTTCCAGGGGCACTGTGGAATAGTTTAACTTTCAAGAGAAATGCCAACCTTTATGTGAACTAACTACTTACTGGGTCATTTGGATGTAACTACTGAATAAATGAAATGGTTAGGTATTTCTTTCGGATTATTTTACAGAGGGTTATTTTACAAAGACACTAAAGGTGACATGAGCAGAGAAAGCTTGGGAACCTCTGTACTATATAGTATCATCCTATAGCATGAGGATGCTGTGAACCCCAAGCAAGGTCGTGGCCATAGCGCTCTCAGCTCCCTGCCAGCACGGAGTAAGGACTGAGCGAGTGGTCAGTAGAATCCACCTTGTGAGGGTGTGTGTCTGCTGCCCTTTGCACGTATTGGAAGGGTGGCTACTCCGTGGGTTTACTTCAGTCCTGTGCCTGAAAAGTTCATGCCTTTTCATGTTCTTTCATTTTTTCTTCTCCCAGGGGCACTCGGATCATCAGGTGATATTTGTAAGTATTGCTTTAGAAAAGTTAAACCCTTGTCCCAACCCAGGATGCATGGGGTCTCTGTTCTTCGAAAGCTAACTTTCCTGCATCTCCCTCACACTGAGTAAGGTGTGATGGAGAGCTTGGTTCTAGTGGAAGGAGGGACTGCAGAGCATAACAGGTGAACTTGTAATGATTTAAAAACAAGCTGCTTTTCTCCGTTTGGGTTCTGCTTCCTCTCCCATGGCAGAGTGTGGTTAAGAGAAATATTTTTAAAGGCTGGAGTAATCTAAGCTCTGTTCCAAGACTAGGTGAAAAATATTGAAAAGGAGAGAGATATTTAAACTAGTGAGCACCACTGTGGGGTGGTCTTCCCCACACCCATTTCCCCTCTCCTTCCCTCTGGACCTTCTCAATAGGACAGGACCAGGTCACCTAAAACTCATTGCTTGGCTTTCTGGATTGAATGCTGAATAGATGTTTGGGCTGACAAATGGGTAGTCTGATTTAAGTGACAAAAACACCATAATAACTGGTCTCTGAAGAATTCTGATGCATTCTTTGATGATCTGCACTTTTGAGGCTTTTGATTTTGTTCACATTTGATATAGTCTTTTTCTTAGAACAACCTGCAGGTTTCATCCTAGAAAAATAAGTATCAGAACAAATCAGGACAATTTGGTTATTTTTTTAGAGATAGAACTGGTATGAATGTTTAAATTCATCATCTCCACCCTTTTTGATCATGCATGCTGTTAGTTAAGAAATACTTGAACTTGTAGCAATACATGTATATTTATGTGTTTATAAATTACACATATGCTACTCTACTAATATATTATGTATACTGTAAAATCCCATAGACTTTTAAAAGAGGAGATAAAGCAGAAATTGAAAGTTCTGTTTTCTCCTGCTGTCTCAGTAGATTGTCTTGCTTGTGAGGGGGTATGCACCACCACCTTGCTTTGGAGTCACTGGTCTTGTTGACCCAGAACAGTGATTCTGTCTAGGTCTAGATCTCACCCAAGATTAGAGAAAGAATACTTAGACAGGAGTCATGAGACTTGTATCTAGTCCCAGCTGTGTCACTGGAGCCAGGGTGACCTTGGGCAAGGTCACTGATCCCCTCTGAATCTGTCTTGGATTGTAAAATGAAGGTGTGGACTACTAATGGCTTCTGACTAGGGGCTCCTCTGTCTCCTCTGGGGGCATAAGCAAATACAGATGGGCATTTCAGTAGGCAAGCTTCAGGGATGCTGCCCTGTAGTACACAGGACAGACCCATACAAGGATCTCTCCAGCCGCAAACCCAATGCTGCCCCTTTTGCAAAACCTTGGGAGATCCTCTTTAACTTTCTGTGACCACTCAGGGGATGGAAGCCCTTCAACTCCTCTTTCACAGCCTTCATCAAGATAATTGGAAAAAGGGTGTTTGGATCATAACACTTCTTTTACTCTGGTGCCTTCCGTCTGATGAGGCTATGTATTCTCAAATCCCATGGAGGCAATCAAGGCCAGCCTTGAATTGTAGAGTTAAATGTGTAGTTGAATCCAAGGTTACTGGCTACCAATCAAGGTTATTTTAGAGGAATCATAGGATTTCAGTGTTGAAACTTCAGCCTAGAGTGGCATCCCCTTGACCACCCAGCTATTTGACACCAGAACATAGGTCTCCTGCTCCTGGGCCAGTGCTTTCTCATTCATGCCTCCCCCCAGCTGTGCTCACTGAATGACCTCATGGTATATGTCTGGACTAGTGAACAGGACAATATTCAGTTTCATTTCTCAAAACAAGTGACCTGGGTTTCCAGCAGTCAGGAGAAAGTACAACATGGATGTGGGCTAAGGTGAAGTCTGAAATCAGGTCAGATATTTAGTTCAGAATTGTTCAACATGGTTTCATCATAGCAAAGTGAACAAAGATTCAGTAAAGAAGAGTCCCATGTTTTTTCAAGGGCTTCTCTTACATGGCCATCCAGGTTGATTTTATACATTGGATCAGGTATGAATTAGGATAAAAGTCTAGCAGTCTAAAAACCCAAATTAACAGTGATTCTAACCAAATATGTGTTTGTGTTTCTCTCATGTACTTGTCTGAATATAATCAGTTGAGGGTTCTTTTGGTGGCATCCCTGTGTTAGAGACCCAGGATCCTTCCATCTCTCTGTTCTGCCAACCCCTGTTCCCTCCTCCTCATGGTCCACAATAGCCCGCTGCCACACCCGCCTTCTAGACAGACGAGGAAGAGAGCAGAGGGAACACCCCCCTCACTAGTAAGCAGTAACTCAGAAATGGCCCTCAGCACTTTCCCTCACCCCTCCACCTCTAGATGCAAGGTAGACAGGGAAATGTAGTCTCTGAATGGCCAGAACCCAGCTGAAATATGGGGTTTCTATTATAAGAAAGGAGAGGATGGATATGAGGGGACAATGAGGTAGTATCCCTATCACAGGTTATTAAGGGAGGAAGTGGGCCTGGCAGGGTAGACATGGAAAAGACAGTCAAACATTTGAAAAACAAGGTTGTAGCCTGACAGTTTGCTATGGGTATGTCTGGGAGTTGGGCAGTTAGAAGCATATTAAGTTGTGGTAATGCTTTTATGAGGGAAACCAGGCCCATTGTCCCCAGTGGCAGTTATGTAAACTCTCAGGGTCTAGTTTCATCATCTGTAAAATGGAGATAAGACTCATCTATTAGGGCTGTTGTGAGGATCAAATGCAGCAATGGTGTGCAAAGGTTTGTAAATTCCAAAATGGTATCTAAATGTGAACCATTATACCAGTTATCAGATGTAACTTTGTTGTTTCTGATGATCTGTAAAGGAGGCAAGAGTCCTGGGGAGTGGCTCTGTGGGTTCCAAGTCTTTTAAACTTTCACTTTGGATTCAATGAACTGACCAGCCTTGCTTTTCTGTAGACAAATTTTTGGATTGCATGACAACCACAGGTGGTGTTGAGAAGACAGAGGAGGCAGCTTTTGGAAGGGGTTTTGTATCTCAGAAAGGTCTAGACGGACACAAAGCAGGGTTCTTTTGCCCCCTCCCCACCAAAAAAAGGTGTGGGGGTGGTGAGAGGAGACAGTTGAATTCATTCAGGCTTCTACTCCCTGAAAGCAATTTTTCTCACTCGGTTTCTTACCATCTTGTGCAGAAATAAAGGCCAAGAGAGATTAAGCATTTTCACTTCTTTTCAAACTTCCATAAGGCAAAAAACAAACACTTGGTTTTTCCTGTTTGAAAAGAGTATATTCAGCATTTTATCTAGCTTGATGCAAGGCTGAAGTAGTGGTAGTTAAGACATTTAAGGAAGGAAATACAAAGAACTGCGGATTGTGTGGTGTTTTACTAAAGAATCCAAGAGTTATCACAAGTCACAATATAATGAGATATACCATTTGGGAGGAGCAATGTCAGAGGATGAAGTGACAGTTAAATCATCGACTCTAACTAACCCCCCTTTTCATGACTCCAGCTACTCAGTCCCCTGGACCCTCGCTCACTCATGCCAGTTTACCAGCCTGTCAGAAAAGGACTGGAAATAGTTGGCCTCTGGGATGGTCACCCTCTACCTCAGGACATGATTGGGCTAACGGTAGAGCTAGCCTTCCATGTCTAAAGAGGTCAATTGTTTTTTAATCTACATAATAAACTTTTGCAAGTATAATTTATCTTCATTTTCAGTGATAACTTAAATTTATGATACATAAATGTCATGTTTATAGGTAAAATAATAATCTGATCTTCAGTGTTTATGATAAGTATTTTTTGTTGACTTAAATGTTATTTAATATTTTCCATACATGTATTATTGAATTAGAACTTGGGCCTTGGATTCAAACAAAGCAGGGTTCAAATCCCTACTTTGCCACTTAATAAACATATGTCCTTGAGCAAATCATTGACTTTTTTCATGGATTTAGTTTTCTCCACTGTAAATGAAAATGAGACTGATACCTACCTCATAGAACTGAAGAAGAATTAAATCAGGCTATATGTGTTTTTCTGGAACAGAGAAAACATTCAATAAATGGTAACTAATAGAAGCTATATTTGGTATTGGCTCATAGCTAATATCCAGAATAATTTATGAAACCCACCACTACCCCCCGTACTTCACAGAGTAGAGGGACTTCACAGGAGAAAAGGATCTTAAAACAAAAGCCTATGAGATCATCATGCCAGTGTGAAAGTGTGTTTCTGCTTCCATGGGAAAAGCCTGGGAGTGGCAGTTGGGATTGGAGTGAGAACAGGGGTCTTATATCCAATGCACCTACTATCTTGGTCTATTAACCACCCAGCTGGACAGGAGACCGGGGGACAGATGGTGGGACTAGGATGCACAGATGCAGAGAATTAGAGCAGGAGAGAGGGCTTTGAAAACAGGTCCATATGTTCAGCGAAGACCCCTTGCACAGCCCCAAGTAGAATGAAGTCGGAAGGGTGCGGAGGACTGGACACAGACACTCTCTGGGAAGCTGTAGAAATGGTGCAGGTAAGTGGACGTGGAAGATGGAAGCAGGTCTGAAAGGCATGTGGAGGTGGCTGGAGGGAGGTGGGTAAGAGGAAGTCAGCCCTGGGTCTGGAGTTACTATAGAGCCTGAGGCAGAGGTACTGAGGCTGTTAATCTAGATGGAGTGGTCAGTAGAAGCTTGTTCTTGATGTCATCTGCTTATATTGGCCATCTTGGTTTGATTTTTTTCATTCATTCACTATTTTATTTATTCATTCATCAAAAAGCAATGCTTAAGCATTTGCTACATGTCTGATAATACTATACTAAGCTTTGGGATGCCAGAGGAATAAAAACTTGCTTCCTGCCCTCACGTGGGTGGGGAGAAGGTGACAAATAAACAGACAATTACAATATAAGGCAAGTGGTGCTCAGAGTGAGGTATACCAAGGACGCCGGGGAAGTGTAGAGGAGGGGCGCCTAACCAGACTGGAGGCTGGGGTCAGGGAAATGAGGTAATGTCTCAGCTGAACTGAGTCATGAAGAATAAGCAGGGGTGAGCCAGGCAAGAGTGGGGAGAAGGGCATTTCTTGAAGAGGGAGCAGCAGGTCCAAAGGCCCAGAGGCAAGGAAGCGGAGGGCATAAATTTGAGCCCTGCCAAGTCCCTATGTATGACAAGAATATAGACCCAGAAAGTGGCACAGCAGTTGGTAGAATAACATGAGAGTAAGTTGTGGAGTGAACCAGGAAGGAGGTGGCAGAGATGGTGCCAGAAGGATAAACAGGGGACACAAACAACTATTCTCAGGAGGTTTTCAATGGGAGTGACATGCTCAGATTTAGAGTTTAGGAAGACAGCTCTAGTAGCATTGGGGGCACAGTATCAGTGGCATGGAGAGCCCATTGTCATAATTATGAGGACTTGGACTTAAGTGGCTGTGAAGATAAAATGACACAGACAGGTTCAAGTGACAGGAAAGAGTGCTGGCAATGGAATTAGTAACTGATGGACTGGTGGATGAGGGAGGGGTGAACACAGAGAGGACGTATCAAGAATTTCTGGTTTGGGTAATGAAAGAAGGGACACAAGAGGTAAAGCAATCTTTTGCTTTGTTTTTGGCAGTAGGAAGAGAAATGATTAATTGAGCTTTGGTTGTGTTGAATTGAGTAGCTTAGTAGTTGTTGGACAGATACTCAAAAGGCAGTCACAGACCCACGTCTGCACCTTGAGAGGCAGATCAGCGCAGGAGACGCGCATTTGGGAGGTGTCGCGCAGAGGTGGTGCTGCCAACGAAGGGCGTAGTAGGTGGGGTTGCCCAGCAAGACTGCAAAGTTGGAGGAGACAGTGAGGGGTGAGCCCCTGGGGCACACCAACACCCAAGAGGCAAGCAGAGAATGGGGAGTGGGTGGAGTACATGTGGAAGGAACATGGAGAGGAGGAGATCAGGGAGGAGCAGAGTCACGCTTGCAAGGGAACAGAGAGATTTAAGAAGCAGGGGTGGGCAGCAGTATCGAAACCTGCAAGCAGTCAAAGACTGAGACGGTCCCGTTGGATTTACTATGAAGTTGTTGTGGAGAATCTGGTTAGAATAACTCAATAGGTTTGTAGTGAGAAGAAGCCACATGAGAGTAAGTTGTGGAGTGAATAGGAGGTGAAGAAGTGGGCACTCCAGGAAGGTTGCCTTTGTGGAGGGGAGGTGGGGCACATGCGTGGTGGGGGAATGATTGATTGTTTTCCAGATGGGAGAGACTTGAGCACAGTAAATACTTACAGAAAGATCAGGTAGATAAGGGAGAGGATGGAGAGAATAGGAGAAAAAGAAGAAAGGGAGCAGATGGCATTCAGAGCACAGGAGGTGAGCCACAGCTGAGACCAGGGGTTCACAAACCCGGCCACCCGTTGGTCTCACCTGCAGAGTTTTGAACACACTGACTCTGGGTCCTCCCCCCAAGAGATGCTGATTTAACTAGTCTGGAGTGGAGTCCAAGCAGCAGTATTTTTTTCAGATCTTCGCATGATTCTAAGGTGACTTCAAGGTTAAGAACTACTGCAGTAAGTGTTTGCTGCTTATTTGTCAAGTTCTTTTTACAAGTTTTGTTGATCAATTGATTAATTCCCCTTAATGACAATGACTGTTTAATCATCTGCAGGGAAATTTGTAAAGAAATACAAGACAGGATTTCTGCTCTCAAGCAGCTTATAACCCCACAGGAGAAATAGTAATAATTTGTAATTTATGTAAGTGCTAACTTAGTGGCACAGCAGTTGGTAGAATAAGATTGGGCCTGGGAGGTCACGGTCAAGGGGAAGATTCAGGCCCCCGAGAAGTGACAGCGCCTAGTAAGCAGAGAAGAGGAGGGGGTCTCACACACCCAAGACAGAAATCGCTACAACCTGTTTCTTGAGGACATCCTTGGTGCCAGCTGCTTATTAGCACATTATCCCAAATATTAAAACCAGGCAAGGTAGTTGTATATCATTCCTATTTTCCAGAGAAAGAAACTGAGGCTGAGGGAATTTAATCTCAAGGCCACAGTGAGCAATAAATGGCACAGCCAGGATTCCAGCCCAGAACGCGTTGATTCCAGAGCCCGGTTCCCTTCCGCTACAATGGTCTGGGACCGCTGGGACCGAGGCTCCCGCTTGCTGTTTAGCACTGCAGCTTCAGGAGCACATCAGTTTTGCCAAAGCCCAGGGCGCAGCGAGTCTTCTTCAGCTGGGGCTTTCTGGTGAGCGGAAAGTTCACACACATCCATCACCAGTCCTAGTAGGTCTGTAGAGAAAATGAAAGTTCCTTTGTCCAGGATTCTCACCTGACCCTGGTTGGCTTGCACACTGCACACATGTGGGCAACATGCTGTTATTGACTCTATACAAAGAGCTCTGCCCAGTGCTCTGGGCTGCATGGCTGCTGGAGAGCAGAGACTGGAGGCTGGAGGGGTGGCAGTGCAGAGGATAGAGACTGAGACAGTTGGAGGCGGACAGAGAGGCTCAGAGGCAGAGACCTGCTTGCTGCATACAGACTTGCTCTGAGGTGAACAGGGTTCTAACACTTGACCTGCCACTGTGGGAGGAAAGTTGGATATAAAACCTTTCACCCTAAGAATGTTCCATTGTCATTTTTTTTGGTCTCACTGAATCAAGAGTGAACTTGCCAGGGGCTGAAATGCATTGGCAAGATAGGTCTCAGTGTGTGGTTCCTGAACCAGCATGTGGGAAGCTGTTTGGAATGCACATTCTCAGGCCCCTCCTCAGATTTACTCAATCAGAAACCTTGAGGTCCAGGCCCAGCAGTTTGTTTTCAGAAGCCCTCCAGGTGATATAGTTTAAAATTTGAGAACCGGAGTTTGATCTCTACTTTATTGGTACAAATCAAAATTTCAGTTTGCTGCTGTGGCTAATCTCTGAGCATCTGTGATGTGCAAATGGAAAGAAAGAACTGGGGGAGTCCAACCCCAGCAACGGTCGTTACCTGGGTTCCAGCAGTCTAGCATTCTGTCCAGAGAACTCAGATGTTAAGAGTAACATCTGACAGGGCGAATGAGTCCCAGTTCTAGGACAGTGCATAGACTCCAATAAAGGATAATTCTCTAGTCGTGGGAAATACAGCATGGTGTTCTCCTCTTTGCACATCTTAAAACTTGGCCGGCCTAGGGAAAGTAAAACAGTCTCTGTTCCAAGAATTTCACAGGGGCCTTCAGATGCAGCCCTCACGGAGATTGTCTGGTTTGCCCCCATAGTGCTTCTGGTCATTGATCTATTCCTATTCCATCATTGTCAGGAGGAAGTGATTGGAAATTTGAAACCAGGCACTGAATATCGAGTGACCATAGCAGCATACAGCCCGACTGGCAAAGGGCGGCTTAGCTCTCCTCGGCATGTTATCACTGTGCCCCAAGGTAAAGGGGGTTCAATTCACTAATAATCGGAAGGTGATGGGTGCTATTCATTCATTCTTTTATTCAGTGTATATCAACGAGGACCTACTATGTGCCCAGCATTGTGTTAGGCTCTGGGAATTCAGTGGTGAGTGGAAACGGGCACAGCCTCTGCCCTCCCAGAGATTAGTGGAGCGGGGCCAGACATTATCTAATTTTTATGTAGTCACAGACTGTGGTAAGTGCTACCTAGAGGACGGTGAGAACATAAAAGGGAAGGGGTGAGGTAAGAATTCCCTGACAAGATAACTACTGAGTAGAGATGTGACAAGTAGGTGGGAACTGGGAAGGTGAGGAAGACAGTGGGAGCACAGACTTCACAGGTAACGGAGCCCAGCAAGGGAGGGGACATTGTGCTGGACGCTGGGAGACAAAGGCGACTCCATCGCATTGCTAGCATGGCTCGCTGCGGAGGGAGGAGTGTATGGTAGCACGTAGCCCAGCACACGTGAGGTCTGTGTGACAGGCTCTGGATTCCTCAGAAGGGAGGGAGCACTGCTTCTGCCTGGAACCTCATGGACAGTTTCAGAAAGAACCATATCTTTGGCCCAAATTTTGAAAACTGCTTAAGATTTCACTAGGAAGAGAAGCAGGAAGGACATTTCTGGCAGAAGCCCTAGTGTAAACAGAGGCTGGGAGATGTGAAAGTCTAGATATGAATGCAGTGACAGCAGAGAGCTTGGGGCGGTGACATCACAGGCCTCCTACCTCCTTAACGTGCAGGCATTTCCCAAATGCCCTACCATTGGTGTGTTTCCTCACAGTTGGAGCTGGGAACACACACACACACACACACACACACACGAATTGAAAGCAAGTGACAGTGATGCTAAGCGTTTAATTTTCCTTGTAGGTAAATTTCAATTTGGACATGCAAACAGTGATGAAAGGTTGTTAGGAGGTGGGAGTGTGATGGAGGGTTTCAAAGGTACACAGCACTCACTGTGTGTCCCAGGACTGGACATGATTTAGTTGGATTTCCAGCCAGGGCTGCTGCGGGAAGAAGGGAAGACCGGCTCGCACGGTCTCAGACCTTACAAGGTGAATTCAGTTGTGATGATATTTTTGTGCTGGTTTGGTTTGGATTTTGAGGCTGCCCTGAACAGAGATGCTTAGGCTGTAGGAAACACATGTGTTTTTTACAGACTAACCTTCTTCAGCAGCAAAGACCACAGCCAACTCAGGTTGTTCACTGTCCTGCCTAGATGCCTGCCTGCCTCCAGCAGCCCCCAAGCAGCCACAGGTCACTGTGGTTTCAGATTCCGAGGTGGCCTTATCTTGGAGACCTGGGAGGAGTGAAGGCAGCCCCCCTCTTCAGCACTACTCTGTGGAATTCATCAGGTAAGTTTGTGTGTCCCGTTCAAAAGCCAAATGTGTTGACCTCAGGCATTCCACCTATGACAGAAGACTAGGTCGTCTCCACTGCATGTGTGTTGCCAAGGTGCCCAAAGCGTGGAGGCTTGTATTACTCTCCATCCTTGGGCCAGCCCCGGTCCCCACCCCTCCAGCGGCAGGAAGCCTGTCCGCTCTCACATTACCTCGTCCCCGTTACCTCGTCCCCGTTTCCCCTCTGCAGTCAGAGACTGCCCTAGACGCAGCAAGCCCTTCAGGTACTTTTGCCAACAAGCCTGCCAGCATTTCAAGCTTGAAACTTGCCTCCCTGGCTTTGAAATATTTCATTTGACGCAAACATTTGATGGTGATTCTTTTGGAGGTGGAGGTAGGGGAAAACTCTTTAAAAATAAGTACAATTCATGGTTTCCTTATCCATGTTGCTGCAGGACAAGTTTCTCTGTTTGGTTTCAGCTTATTTCTCTCCAGTTCTTGTTACTCAGTTTATCAGAGGATAGGAGAGTGATTGGGAGTACTAAGAGCTCACATATAGAAAACCATGAGTTCTCAATGCTGCTGTATTTTAAGCAAAACAACCCCCCTCCCTCCCCCACACACATTGAACAAAAGGAATGTCCTTCTAAGGCCCTTCCTCTAAACTTAGTTCAGTTGGAATTTGAATTGAAGCACCCAGCTGATGAAAACAGTGTCTGTGGAGTTGGTGTTCTGTATATTAAAGGTGATGAGGTGAGGCCTGCTGCTTCATGGATTCCTAGAGACTATTTTAGCACCTCATTCCTGAGGCTCTCTGAACCCAGGACATAGGATTCTGACAAGATTGGATTAGCTAGGCTTCTGTTTCTTGGCTTTCCAGTCTACTCCTTGTTGGTGGAAAATGGATACTTGCTTCTTCAGAGAAGTGCTGCATGTAATGCTTGGGTACAGGGCTCACTTCAGGCAGGACCTGCCGAACTGCAAGTGGCAGAAGCTTGAAAGATGAGGCAGTAGTGCATTGGCTTCTGTGACTGTAAAGCCCAGTGAAAATCTAAAATCAGGAAGACTGGATCCGGGGCCCATCGATGGTCTGCCTCCATCGTCTCTGTGCTCTGCTTTCCCTTTTATTGGCTTCATTTGCATTTCAAGCAGGCTCCTCCTATGGGAGGCACTGGAGGTTTACAGTCTAGGAACCTAGCTCCCCACTGGGAACAAGTGGCTATTTCTCCATGCCCCATTAGCATCTCGATATTCTAATTGCCCAGACTTGGTTCTCTTCATTTTCTGTGCCAATCACTGTGGCCAGGACAGTATACACTCATTGGTCAGGCGCTTGTCACATTCTGAGCTCTGGAACTAAGGACTGGAAGGTCATTTAGACCTGAAGTACATGGATTAAAAGATCGAAAGGCAGCCCTCAAAGGAAAACTGGTGCAGTTAATGGAAAAGGGAGGAAACGGATGCTGGGAAAATTAAAAAACAAAAAACAAAAAAAACAGATGTCTACAGCAAAGCTCTAGACCAATGCCCTTCATTGAAGATAATCTACAGTCCTGCTGTTGGACAGACTTGGTAGGCAAAGCCCAGAGTGTGCCTCATGTGGACAAGATTCTAGTCCTGGTTCCAATTGTGGTTTAACTTGCAACACTGGGAAGTCCTAAAACTTTACCTTTCTCATCTGTAAAACTCAGAGTAAAACTTAACATTTCTAATTTACTCGTCTAACACTAGCAAAGCAAAAGTATAATACCTAAAAATTTTGAGAAATGCAAAATTCTCATGGGATCCTGGACAATCATCTATGTAACCCCCAGCAAAGATGCTGGTTATCACATATTATTAATTTTGCACTAAAACATGTATTTTTTTAAAACTTGCTCTAAGTCTGGCATATTGGCAAAAGAAGTTTCTTAACCTGCGGATGCAACTGAAAGTAGATGAAGAGATTCATCGGATTTAGAACCAGAAGAACTGGAAGAGAGTTCCTCCTCCCCCACTTGTCAGCCGGGAGGCCTGGCACCAGTCACTTCCCCTCCTGATGCCTCATGGCCTCTCATAGTCTGGGGTCCCCCAAAGGAGAGCCTGATACTTGGACTTGGGTGCAAGTAGTTTATTATATTTGGCAGCAGGAATGAGGAAATAGGGAGACAGGGAAGGAGGGTGTATGACTGTGTTACTGATGTTACTTCTATAGGCTTCTGCTGGGGCTTGATTCCATTGACATCTTTCTGCCATGTATAGAATTGCTCTTGAACTTGTCTATCAAAAACACAGGAGCTATTTATCCACTGGCTTCTGTCCTCCTTTGTTGATTGAGGGTTTCTCCTAGGGATTTAGCTCCCCATGCTTCTAGACTCTGCTGGCCTGCAGATTAAGGGGGTGGGTCCTGGACTAGGAGTGATACGAGCACAGCACGTGCTTCAGGTTGGATACTGGCCTTTCTGGGCAAGTCTGAGCTCCTGGGAAACTCTCCACACCGCAGCTGCTACTCACGTCAGCAGTGGGTCAAGGGTAGGTGTCACTGGCCCAGAGGCATTGAATACAATGTTCTTATTTGCAAAATATGGGTGATAATTCCTTTGAGCCTTCTAGTGTGTAGTTAGGAAGATCAAGTGAAATCACATATGAGAAAGAGCTTTGTAGATGTTAAAAACCTGCACAAGTATAAGATTTACATGGGTGTTATGTACCTACATTTAGTGATTATAATTCTTCAACAAAAATGCATTTTTAACACTCAGAATTGCTCTAAGAGTTGAGGGGCTAGGACCCAAATTCTTATGTGTAAATGTTAAAAAGTTACTGACTCTTCTAACTAACTATTTTTAAGAAATCTGTTTCTCTTGACAAGTATACCTTTGTAAGGTCCTAGAAAGGCAGCTTCCTATTTAGGACTCTTGGACATCTTGGAGTTACAAATGGTACATGGTAGAATGGGGGAAACAAATCCTTGGATCCAGTCCCTCCCTGTCCAGGGAATCCTGCTGTATTATTTCCTCCAGAATATGTTGTTTTGGTGAAGTGATTTTTATCTCAGAACCTCCCTTTCCTTCTCTGTAATAGCAAGCTAATGTGACCCTTATTGCAGGACTGTTGCTCATAGTCTTTATAAAGTGTTTATACATAGTAGACATACAATATCTATTTGTTTTCTGCCCCCTCCCCCCCCCATACCACTGTTTCCCTTTTGCAAAGGAAGAAATTGAGATACGTTGCTTACGTTGCTTTGCCAAGGGAAAATGGCTGTTTGGGAACCAAATCAAAATTAGAACCAAAGTCTCATGACTTCCAGCCCGGTGCTCTTTTTATGAAACCCCATGTGCCCTGCATGTCTGTGATCCACTTTTGGAGGTGAAGGTATAGACTCAGCCTGCCCAGAGCCCTTCTGGCTGAGCCTCATCATAGGCTCCTGTTTGCTGTTCCGGAAAGAAAGCCTTCACAGTTTGTCATAGCACTTAGTGCTTGGCTTGCAAAATAAATCCCCACATTCATTTGTAAACATCTCAGAGTCTATCCCCTTACAGGTGAGTGCCTGAGAATATGTTTGGAGGAAGCTTCCCTGGGCCCTAAATCAGAAACTGCAGTTAGTGTGAAAGACTTTTGGGGTCTCCAGTTACTCTGTTTTATCCAGAAAGGTTTGATAAATGTTTAATATTGAAAATCATTTTGCCCAGTTAACTCCTGTGTTTAGAAACACCTGTAATAGGTCTCTATGTGAGCCAAAAGTTTCTTGCTATATTCAGGAGGCAGGCCTCTGGCAGGCCCAAGTTATGAAATTGTAGAAATCAGTTTATTGCCAGAGGCTAGCCTCAGATTTCAATCATCTTAATGTGAAGTTCTTGTCTAGGTGCTGTCACTAGAAGGCTACTTTCCAGTCCTCTGTCTCGGTAGGTGCTTATACATCAGTTGTTGTATTTATGCAGTGAGGATAATGATATCAAAGACACTGTTAAGAAATTTAGTTTAAAAAGCTTTTAAAGAAATATTTAACTGGCTGATGAAAGAATCTGAGAAATTACACTAGACGAGGGTGTGAGGCTACTGACTGCTTATTTTCTTATTTTGGTGATATTTCAGGAGGACACTATGTATTTATGATATTCTCTTGAGTCATGGGTTTAGGACCAAGCACATCTTTTACTCCTCATCCAGCTTCTACGTCTCCCAGAGTGGGTACACCCTTGGTGTGAACCCTCTGAAGGCTGCTCTCATTGACCATATCGAAGAAAAATCTTGGTCTCCGGCTCAGGCAGGATGAAGATTTTAGATGAGGAACCTTCACAGTCTCCCCCAAAGTTGGCCTGCAGGCTATGCATTAACCTTCCTTGCTAACAGTAGATACTTCATTCTTAATCAGTGTAGAAAAGATTTGGAAAGGTAAATTCTAAGTAACCCTATGGGCTAGAACATATTTTGAAATCTTTTTAAAGCAAACCTGCCTTTCTAAGACAAAAAAGCCATGCGTTTAAGGTGAAGTAGAATTTTTTTTTTTCTGCAGTGATACTGGAAATGTCTTTGTGGCTAGCAATGCTTACTATTTATCAAAATAAGAACCAAGCATAAATATAGCCACCTATGTTTTGAAATATTTTGGCAATAAATATATGAGAAACGTTTCTCCTTCTGCCTAAGAATTTCCCCCAGGTAACTGCCTTTCTCATAAGCAAAAAATATACACTATAGTGGCAATGAAAACCAAAGGCCTGGAAAAGTATTCCTCACCTCTGATGTTCTAGTTAGGGTGCCATCATGCACATATGCTATCCATCAGGTAGGCTAAAGGTGACAAATAGTTTTCATTTAACTTACCTATAATTTTTCTGTAGGTGTGACCTGATGGGTTGAAACAGTTTCAGAGCTTTGCCTTTTCAATTGCTGGAAAGGGTAGATTAAAGCTTTCTGTGGCTATTTTCAATAAAAGGTCCACTACTGGGTTATTTTGGGTACAAGTGAAAGTTCAAAATACTTCTGTGTATGTACTAAGGACACAGGTCAAGAAATGTTGATCTCTATAG